AGGGGTCAAAGCGCCTTCACACTCACTGACCTCCTGGCCTCCATCCCCTCCGGGCTGAGAGCCTGGCCCCCCTCCCAGTGTCTGGTTCCTACAGAGGCTCCTCCCAGGGTCCCCCCCCCCCCCCCCCCCCCCGCACCCTGCACTACCTCCACCGGCTGCCCAATGAGGCTCCAGCAGCCTGGGCGGGGCGAGGCCCGTGTTCTAGGAAAGGATCCCAAGCAAGCAAGCTGCTGCCAGGAGCTGCAGTTCTTGGAATTGGCGCTGGCACTGCGGGGCGAGGGGACGCTTCCTGGAACCTGCTGGCCCCTCCAGGGAGAGAGGCTCAGAGGACAGGCGGTGACCTCGAGGAGGGGGAGGGGGTTCAGAGGCCTCAGCTTGGGTCCTTGCCTCCAGGAAGCCCTACCCAACTGCAGGTGCCTCCTGAGACTCCACGATCTCAGCATTAAGTCTGCTGGGCCCCAGGAGAGGCCCGGTTCTGGCATGGCCTCTTTAGCACCCAGCATCCAGCCCAGCAATAGGAACAGAGTGGACAACCAGAAACAGTAGGGAAAGGGAGGTGCGTGTGTGTCTGGGGCGTGGGGCAGTATGCGGGTGTGGGCACACAGGTGAAGGTAGGGTGCGCAGCCAGGTTGGGAAGGACTAAGGAGAGCAAGGTGGGGTCAGCGATGCCAAATCTGGCTCACAGAGGTCCCCTTCCTGATGGACAGACAGCCTCTGGTCAGGACTCCTGTCACTCCGACAGGCAGTCTTTCCTTCATGGCCTTGCCCTCAGATCCCTGTCCCACAGTTGGGGTATGGGTCTCAGCTTTAGCTTTGGACAGCATAGAGTAGTCCTAGCCCAATGCCTAGCGGTGCGCCTTCAGCACACACCCAGCCTGCTGGAGCCTCCCTTTCCCTGCCTAGAAAATAAAAAAAAGGAGATGCTACAAGGCCCCCAGGAAGGCCCTGGGGGCGATGACCTGGGTCTGGGACAGGGTTGGGGTCCAGCTACACTTTGCTGGTGTGGCTCAGTGTTCCCAATACGGGGTCCCAGGGTCAGCACCGTCAGAGCAGAAGCCTGGAAGTCTGGCTAAGGGGGTATTGAGAGCCGGTCAGGATCAGCACAGTGGGTAAGTAAGGGCCACCGTCTCTGGCTGTGTGGCCTTGGAGCACCCATCTAACCATTCAGGACATGTTTGCCTTCAGAAGAATGGAGAACCCTCCCTAGGCAAGGCTGGACAGGGGGCAGGGACTTGCCTCTCCCCCGGTGCCCTCAGGTCACTCTTCGCCTCTCACCGAGCACAGCCCCAAGCCTGCTACCACCACCCCCAATGCATCACAGACAAGGGGGCCTCCAACCCATCCTCCAAAACCAGTCAGGGGATTGAGAAGTCCTGAGTTTCAGTGCCTGGGTGGGGCTGTGAGACAGGGCTGTGACGGAGAGGTCCTTTGACCCCTGCAGAAGGGTGGCGCGGCAGCCTAGGGACTCAGTTCCTCACTGTGCCTGTGCACTTGGGAATGCCGGTTCTCTGAGGCTACCCGAAGCCAGAAGCCAATGGCAGTGGAGTGAGGGCTGCCGTGGAGGGAGGGTCACAGTTGGTGGAGAGCAGAGCACTCCACCAGCCAGAGGCCCTGGCACCTGCCCCCAGGTCAATCTGACTGGGAAGAACCTGCCATGGGAGACCTGGACCTGGAGCCCACCCATCTGGAGTGGGAAGAGCTGCTGGCTGGGACCTACTGGGTTCGCAGGCGGGTATGAGTGACTTGCTGCTCCTGGTTTCAGAGTCTGGTGACCTGCGTGACTTGAGCCGGTCACGATCGTCTCTGAGCCGCCCTCACTTACCTTTATCGTGGTAAGGACTAAATGTGTAGATCTGGTGATTTCCTTTCTCCTTGGGGTTTCCTCCCTAGTCCTACCTTTCCACCCCACCCCCACTCCCCTTAACAGAAGCCCCAGCAGTGCACTTTCACTGGCCCTCATTGCGGCAAGAAGTACCCATAGACATGTCTGCTTTTCCCACTGGAGCACAGGCCTGAGGCTCCTAGTGCTCTGGGCAAAAGGACACATGGAGGCCCACGTCACGGAATCTAAATATATTTTTTTAAGATTTTATTTATTCGAGGGGCACCTGGGTGGCTCAGTGGGTTAAGCCTCTGCCTTCGGCTCAGGTCAGGGTCTCCGGTTCCTGCGATGGAGCCCCACATCGGGCTTTCTGCTCAGCTGGGAGCCTGCTTCCCCCAATCCCTCTGTCTCCCTCTCTGCCTACTTGTGATTTCTCTAACAAGAGAAGAGACAGAGAGAGACAGAGAAACAAAGAGAGAGAGCAGGAGCAGCAGCAGATGGAGAGGGAGAGCCACAACCCAGCATGGGGCTCGATCCCAGGACCCTGATACTATGATGTGAGCCAAAGGCAACCACTTCACGGACCAAGCCACCCAGGCATCCCCAGAATCTAAACATTTAAACATCATAAATCAAGCTATGAACTGCTAATAAAATATGTTCTATCCTATTCAACAGAGAAATTTCATAACAATACAAAATCTGTAAATCTGTAGTTTTTCTGTGTCTGGAAGTCACATAGAAATATCAGAAATTCAGATACCAAAGATCACTGAGAGGCACCTGGGTGGCTCAGGCAGTTAAGCGTCAGCCTACAGCTCGGATCATGATCTCAGAGTCTTGGGATCGTGTCCACATCGGGCTCCCTGCTCAGCGGGGAGCCTGCTTCTCCCTTTCATTCTGCTCCCCATGCTGTGCTCTCTTACTCACTCTCTCTCTTTCTCAAATAAACAAATCTTTAAAAAAAAAAAAAAAGATGATTGAGTTTCACGATTATTGCTCATGTCCAGGTGTTCAGCAGTGTTAGATGAGTAAAAAAATAAAGACATGCCGAGTTCATAAAGTATTATGTATTTGTTCTGTCACATTGGCTGCTCTTGTTTTATTCCAGTAAAACTATTGGCTATGTTACTATAATTAAGATTTTTCATATAGTTACTATCTTATTGGCAGTAATGATTTAAAAGATTAAAGTGAAATATTATATTCAAAGAGCACAAAAATATAAATTAAATATATTTAAAAATTGAAAAGTATTAGGGCGCCTGGGTGACTCAGTTGATGAAGCATCTGAGTCTTGATTTCAGCTCAGGTCATCATCTCAGGGTCATGGATCAAGCCCCGTGTCAGGCTCCACACTAAGATTCTCTCTCCCTCCCTCTCCTTCTGCCCCTCCCCACCCCACCCTACCACTCAATAAATAAATAAATAAATAAAAATAAAAATTGAAAAGTATTTAAAATATACTCCAAAAAGCTATTTTAACAATAATCAAAACTGGTAAAATTCAAAGGCAAAATATAGGTTACAAGTTACAATGAACTAATGTTAACATTTAAATTAAAAAGACTTAAAACTAAAATTTTATTTAACTTTTTGAAATTTTTATTTGCTGTTAACTATTTTTATAGAAATAAGCCTTCCCAATTCACAGTCACACCCTCCGTGAACTCTGAGGCAGGGTCACAACCCCCCTGCATGTCCCTCAGGCCCAAATGGTGTCATCACAAGTTGGTGTTTGGATCTGTCTCACACTGTGCCTGTGCTGAGTGTCAGATCCCCAGGGATGGTGATGCCCACATATTCTTAGTCCATTTATTATGAATTGATCCTTTGTGTGTTTGTGATATGACGTAAATGACAGGCCCTAGGCAGATGAGAAAAGAGCAGCAAGACACCAGGCACAATATCCAGTAAACAGTACTGGAATGCTTTGGAAAAAAAAGAAAAGTCCAATGTCTAAGTCAGACAGGCAACCACCATATATGTTAAATATTTACACATGAAAAAGGAAACTGTAAGAGCCCCTTTAGAGCACCTCCCTCGGGGTCACAACAGTATCGATTCTGGTTGAGGAAACCTTTTCTTCTTTCATGAGCTCCCCTGAATCATTTGCAGGGCAGGTCTGTCTGGGAAAAGGAGAGTCCCATCAGAAATCCATTAATGCCCTTTTAGTGTCATCTCCCTGCCTGGGTGTGGGGGAGGGGCTCCCCCAGAAGTGGGTCCTAAAACAAGGATCCAAATACAAGTAGTTTATTTGGGAGGTGATGCCAAGAGCCACCAGTAGGGGTTCTGAGCAGCCCAGTCGGTTCTGCGACTGACTCCATCTCAGCTCAGGTCTTGATCTCAGGGACTGAGTCCAAGCCCAGCAAAAGTCTCTACTTTAAAAAAAAAAAAAAAAAAAAAAAGACTCACCAGTAGAGTGTTGTGAGATAAGTCTCCATGGTTCTCTCCCACTTCTGTATCCTCGCCTATAGAGGCAATGACTTCCTTGTCCAGACAATCCTTTCAAGTGTGATTATTATACCGAACAGCCTTAGAAAACAGAGAGAGTATTTCTGTCTATGGAAAAAAGCAGCTTTCTTTCTTGTCCAGCACAGCAAAGACCACAGCTCCCTCTTAGGCCAAGGTTGGCAAGTTTGCTGGCAGCCTATTATAAAACATTCAGGCCCCGGACTCCGGGGCTCCTCTCTTGAAATGCAAAACCACTGCACATGCGGCCACCCGCTGGTACTTCCTGGGTCCCCCTGTGGGAACTGGGGAAGCAGTGCAAGAAAATGCTGATCCTGCTGTTACTGTAACAAACTGATCCTTATCTCTGAACCACGAGTCTGGTGCCTTCTGCCAGCAGCGGTGGGAATATAAGGGGCTAACTTGTTAGCCTGCGAGTGGGGCAAAATCTCAGGGCCTTCCCAGTTCCTGACATACAGGAGAGGAGAAGTGAGGCAGGGAAAGAAAGGACACTTAGCCAGGTGTGTTAAGGAGTGGATCCCCCTGTGGGCCACCGAGGCACCGTCCTTAGCTGAGAGATGGAGTAGAACACACCTGACAGTTGCCCCACCCAAGGAGTGGGTAAGCGGGGGTGTATAGCCAACCCCCACCTTTCCCGGCCTAGGGCTGTTCCAGGGGATGGACTTTCAGCCATTTACCAAGCTGCCCTATGCATCAGAGAAGGGCTCAGGCTGCACATGGCAGCTGCTGTGTGGGAACTTCAGTTGGGAGAGTCTCTGGCCCCACCAGGGCTCCAGGGAAGCAGGGCCTCATCTGAATACTGCCCATCCCCAGGGCTCCCTGCCCCCAATGCCCCGCACAGTGCTAAGCAGACTGCCGTCAAGTGCGTGCCGTGTGGCCCAAGGACAAGGTCCCATTTCCTTCCTTCTATCTTCCACTAGGCCATGAGCTCTGTATGAACAGCATCTGCGCCAATCTTTCCCTCATACCCTGGTACCAAGGGTAAGCCTGACATCAGCAAACACTTAAGTTTTATTACACAAATGATGCAAATAAAGAAGCTTCTAAAATAAACAAGCAGGGGCACCTGTGTGGCTCAGTCAGTGAAGCATCTGCCTTCGGCTCAGGTCATGATCTCAGGGTTCTAGGATCGAGTCCCGCATCGGGCTCCTTGCTCAGCGGGGGAGCCTGCTTCTCCCTCTCTCCCTGCTCATTCTCCTTCTCTCTCTCTCTCATAAATGAATAAAATCTTTTTTAAAAATTAAATAAATAACATAAAATAAATGAGCAAAAAGGAGTCAGCTAGGACCAGACGGAGCCACTCTTAACTACAGAAAGACTGTCTCTCTCCAATACCAAAGCGAGTGCACTGGAGGGGGAAGAACCAGAGGCATCACTCCATATGTGGGAAACAAGATACAATAAGGGTTCTAGCCATCACCATTTTTCAATATTATATTGAAGATGTTAGCCAAGCCAAAAGACAAGGAAAATAAGTAAGAGCTATAAATGTTAGAAAGGAAAAGACAAGTGTGTCATTTTCAGTGGTAGAATATTGATGTAGAAAATTGAAGGGAAGCTACCCTATGATCTCACTAATGTGGAATTTAAGAAAGAAAACAGATGAACATATGAGAAGGAGGGGGAAAAAAAAAAGAGAGGAGGGAAATAAGCCATAAGAGACTCTTAAGGACAGAGAACAAACTGAGGGCTGCTGAAGGGAGGTGGTGCGGGATGGGCATGGAGGAGGGCACTTGTGATGAGCACTGGGGTTGTATGTAAGGGATGGGTCACTGAATTCTACTCCAGAAGCCAAATCGCACTGTATACTTAACTAAAATTTAAATGAAAAAAAAAAAAAAATCCAAGAGAAGTAACAAACAACAGATCTATGAGGAGCCAAGAAGTGGCCAGTTATAAGATAAACCACATAGGGGTGCCTGGGTGGCTCAGTGGGTTAAAGCCTCTGCTTTCGGCTCAGGTCATAATCCCAGGGTCCTTGGGATCGAGCCCTGCATTGGGCTCTCTGCTCCCTGGAGAGTCTGCTTCCTCCTCTCTCTCTGCCTGCCTCCCTGCATACTTGTGATCTCTGTCAAACAAATAAATAAAAATAATTTAAAAAAAATAAGATAAACCACATAAATTAACAGCTTTCCCACGCATCTACAAGAACCAGTTAGGCCATCCACCCATATAATAAATAACAACAAACACTGTATGACAGATAAGCAGCAAAGCTAACTTTTCACAAGGGGCATGGGCCTCTGAGAGCCAGGGGAGGAAATGAGGCGTGAGAAACTGAAAACCACCTTCCTCTTGACTGTTTTATCCCCCTACCCCCCATAACTCACCAAACTTTCTCTAGGGCCCCGAGCCAGGTGCACAGGCAAGACCCTGATGTCCTCCCTGTGCTGGGCCCCTGCACGAGAGGCTGCATGCAAGTTGGCTGTTCCAGAGGCTGGGCCGGCTGGGTCCAAGCCTGAAGACAGAGTGAAGCCAGTAGCTGTAGCCTTGGACATAATTCTTAGCTCTCAGGGATGGGGAGGAATGAGGGCATGGCCAGGCAGTGATGGTGCCTACAGCCTCATGGGGCAAAGGCAGCCCCCCGGCCCCTTCCCGAGACCAAGTGGAAGGGAAGAGCTCTGCAAAGGAGCAGAGAACTCGGTCCAGGGCCATTTAATGAAATAACAGCAGCCACCAAACTGAGGGTTCTGTACACGTGGTCAACCCCCACCCTTCATCTGGCCAAACATGGGCACAGGCTCTGGGCAAGGAGGTATAAAAACAACTTGGAATGGCTAACTCGGAGGGGCCCATCTTGCCTCGAATGCACTGCTCTAAGCCTTCTCTGTCAGTGGGCAGTCTTCTCCTCCCTCAGAGGACACATGGGGCCTGGCTGGGCCTTCAGAGAAGGGGATAGGTGATGACACCCGGGAGAGGCAGCTTCCTGTCCCTGTCGCAGGCCCAACCTCGTGACGGGCAAAGTCTAAAGGGCTGGGCAGGCCTGGGTGTGGCTCCCACTGTCTCTGCCTCAAGGACCCTCCACTGCCAGCCTAGGCCTCTAGAGACCAATTTTATGTTTAGTAGGTGAACAAACAGGACGTGGAAATAAGGGGGGAGACACTCGGGGGAATCCAGAGGAAGGAGAACCTTCCACGGGGTCAGAGAAGGTGGAGGAAGCATTTAATTAGAATATGGAAGTCTGGGTATCATTCAAGTACCAGAGAGGGAGAGGCCGAAAGAGAGAGCATTCCAAGAATCTAGCACGGACCAACCAGAGATGGGGTATGTGGGAAACCCCCGGAAATGGTCCATAAAGCTTGGGGATACCCTAAGGTTGGTCCTCAGGTGAGTTTGCTGGGAGGATCACCAATGTCATCTCCCAGAGTTTAATGCAGTGTGGTCATCAGGGGGTGTCAAGCCCCAAGTGCCAGGTCGAAGAGGTCAGGGATGTGGGCAAGGCACCCAGGTCTGGCTCACTCCCCTCCCAGATCTCCCCTAACTTGTCATGGGATCCTGGCCGAGGCATGGGCCCTCTCTGGATGTTCGCTTTCTTTCCCATGAAATAGGGGCACAGTACTCAGGCTCCCATGGGCTACCATGACTCAGAGACAGTGGTTGGGCCTCCAAGAAAGGGTGACACTCCCCCACACACAAACACAAGGTCCTGGCCTGACTCCCAGAGCCTCAAACTCCCCCAACCATGGGAGGCCCTGCATGGACACCTGTGATCATGGATGTGGACCCAAATGCTCCAGTCCCATACCTGTTCATATGCATGTGCACACGGGTCCCTGGGGAGGGCTATACAGGTCTCTGTGATGTGTGTGTGTGATGTGTTCTCCCAGAGCCTAAAGGCTCCCATGGCTCACCATTGCTGACCAGAGCAAACACACTGGGGTCCTGTCAGGGGTCCCTGTCCAAGTCCACAAGTTCCTCAATGACAGGACCCCACATGAACCGCCCCACCCCCTGGCTTGGTTTACAGTTGGTGCTCAATGCTTACAGGTGAACAATGGGCCTGGTAATGGGAGGGGAGACAGGCCAGATAAAGACCTCAGTCACCCCTTCCCCAAGCTTCGGAGGTAGCCTCGGCCCTCAGCAACCTCACAGAGGATGTTGGCAGCAAAAAAAGACTTGTCCCAGATGCTGCATCCTCACATGACCCCGAATTCCACCCCACCCAAGTGGCCCCAAGAGGAGGCTGAGGTACTGGGCTCTTGGCTGTGACTCAGCGGAAGGAAGGCAGGAAGGAGGGGGTTGCTGGGCCCTAGGGTTTTGCTTCTCATTTCTCTCTTTCCAAAGCACAGCAAGTTCCCAGAAATGAAGGTACCCAGAACTACAGAAACCCCAGGCTTTCAGGGGCACTGGGTTCCCCAGTCCTCTCATCCCTGGAGATACCACCACAGAGCCCAGGGAAGCTCCTCGTCCCTGTCTCTGCTTGGAGCCTTCTTCCCTGCCCCAGAACCAGGGATTGAGTACCTGGAATGTCCACACTGGAGCCAAGAGGGGCTTGTGGGTTCCTGAGACTTTTCAGGAGCAGATGGGCCCGATTCACTTGGTGAGACAGATCCTAGGTAAGAGGCGGCTCTGGGAATCTCTAGGATGTATAGGGCTAAAGCAGCCAGGGCAGACTTCCTGGGAGAGGCAGCGGCGGAGGCTGGCATCACAAAAACCC